AAGCAACCACCCTGCCACACTGTTACTAAGCAACCACCCTGCCACACTGTTACTAAGCAACCACCCTGCCACACTGTTACTAAGCAACCACCCTGCCACACTGTTACTAAGCAACCACCCTGCCACACTGTTACTAAGCAACCACCCTGCCACACTGTTACTAAGCAACCACCCTGCCACACTGTTACTAAGCAACCACCCTGCCACACTTGTTACTAAGCAACCACCCTGCCACACTGTTACTAAGCAACTCCCTGCCACACTGTTACTAAGCAACCACCCTGCCACACTGTTACTAAGCAACTCCCTGTCACACTGTTACTAAGCAACCACCCTGCCACACTGTTACTAAGCAACCACCCTGCCACACTGTTACTAAGCAACTCCCTGTCACACTGTTACTAAGCAACCACCCTGCCACACTGTTACTAAGCAACCACCCTGCCACACTGTTGCTAAGCAACCACCCTGCTACACTGTTACTAAGCAACCACCCTGCCACACTGTTACTAAGCAACTCCCTGCCACACTGTTACTAAGCAACCACCCTGCCACACTGTTACTAAGCAACTCCCTGCCACACTGTTACTAAGCAACTCCCTGCCACACTGTTACTAAGCAACCACCCTGCCACACTGTTACTAAGCAACTCCCTGCCACACTGTTACTAAGCAACTCCCTGCCACACACTGTTTACTAAGCAACTCCCTGCCACACTGTTACTAAGCAACCACCCTGCCACACTGTTACTAAGCAACTCCCTGCCACACTGTTACTAAGCAACCACCCTGCCACACTGTTACTAAGCAAGTCCCTGCCACACTGTTACTAAGCAACTCCCTGCCACACTGTTACTAAGCAACCACCCTGCCACACTGTTACTAAGCAACCACCCTGTCACACTGTTACTAAGCAACTCCCTGCCACACTGTTACTAAGCAACCACCCTGCCACACTGTTACTAAGCAACTCCCTGCCACACTGTTACTAAGCAACCACCCTGCCACACTGTTACTAAGCAACTCCCTGCCACACTGTTACTAAGCAACTCCCTGCCACACTGTTACTAAGCAACCACCCTGTCACACTGTTACTAAGCAACCACCCTGCCACACTGTTACTAAGCAACCACCCTGCCACACTGTTACTAAGCAACTCCCTGCCACACTGTTACTAAGCAACCACCCTGCCACACTGTTACTAAGCAACTCCCTGTCACACTGTTACTAAGCAACTCCCTGTCACACTGTTACTAAGCAACCACCCTGCCACACTGTTACTAAGCAACTCCCTGTCACACTAACATCGACTAGTCACCTTATATTGACAGACAACATATATTAAACAACTTAAACACTTTAGTAAATGCAGTAGTAATATATATTTCATTACCTGGAGTTTACCTGGAGAGAGTTCCGGGGGTCAACGCCCCCGCGGCCCAGTCTGTGACCAGACCTCCTGGTGGATCAGAGCCTGATCAACCAGGCTGTTGCTGCTGGCTGCACGCAAACCAACGTACGAGCCATAGCCCGGCTGATCAGGAACTGACTTTAGGTGCTTGTCCAGTGCCAGCTTGAAGACTGCCAGGGGTCTGTTGGTAATCCCCCTTATGTGTGCTGGGAGGCAGTTGAACAGTCTCGGGCCCCTGAAACTTATTGTATGGTCTCTTAACGTGCTAGTGACACTCCTGCTTTTCATTGGGGGAATGGTGCATCGTCTGCCAAGTCTTTTGCCTTCGTAGTGAGTGATTTTCGTGTGCAAGTTCGGTACTAGTTCCTCTAGGATTTTTCAGTTGTATATAATCATGTATCTCTCCCTCCTGCGTTCCAGGGAATACAGGTTTAGGAACCTCAAGCGCTCCCAGTAATTGAGGTGTTTTATCTCCGTTATGTGCGCCGTGAAAGTTCTCTATACATTTTCTAGGTCAGCAATTTCACCTGCCTTGAAAGGTGCTGTTAGAGTGCAGCAATATTCCAGCCTAGATAGAACAAGTGACCTGAAGAGTGTCATTATGGGCTTGGCATCCCTCGTTTTGAAGGTTCTCATTATCCATCCTGTCATTTTTCTAGCAGATGCGATTGATATAATGTTATGGTCCTTGAAGGTGAGATCCTCCGACATGATCACTCCCAGGTCTTTGACGTTGGTGTTTCGCTCTATTTTGTGGCCAGGCCAGAATTTGTTTTGTACTCTGATGAAGATTTAATTTCCTCGTGTTTACCATATCTGGGTAATTAAAATTTCTCATCGTTGAACTTCATATTGTTTTCTGCAGCCCACTGAAAGATTTGGTTGATGTCCGCCTGGAGCCTTGCAGTGTCTGCAATGGAAGACACTGTCATGCAGATTCGGGTGTCATCTGCAAAGGAAGACACGGTGCTGTGGCTGACATCCTTGTCTATGTCAGATATGAGGATGAGGAACAAGATGGGAGCGAGTACTGTGCCTTGTGGAACAGAGCTTTTCACCGTGGCTGCCTCGGACTTTACTCTGTTGACTACTACTCTCTGTGTTCTGTTAGTGAGGAAATTATAGATCCATCGACCGACTTTTCCTGTTATTCCTTTAGCACGCATTTTGTGCGCTATTACGCCATGGTCACACTTGTCGAAGGCATTTGCAAAGTCTGTATATATTACATCTGCATTCTTTTTGTCTTCTAGTGCATCTAGGACCTTGTCGTGGTGATCCAATAGTTGAGATAGTCAGGAGGGACCTGTTCTAAACCCATGTTACCCTGGGTTGTGTAACTGATGGGTTTCTAGATGGGTGGTGATCTTGCTTCTTAGGACCCTTTCAAAGATTTTTATGATATGGGATGTTAGTGCTATTGGTCTGTAGTTCTTTGCTGTTGCTTTACTGCCCCCTTTGTGGAGTGGGGCTATGTCTGTTGTTTTTAGTAACTGTGGGACGACCCCCGTGTCCATGCTCCCTCTCCATAGGATGGTAAAGGTTTGTGATAGGGGCTTCTTGCAGTTCTTGATGAACACGGAGTTCCATGAGTCTGGCCCTGGGGCAGAGTGCATGGGCATGTCATTTATCGCCTGTTCGAAGTCATTTGGCGTCAGGATAACATCAGATAGGCTTGTGTTAACCAAATTCTGTGGCTCTCTCATAAAAAATTCATTTTGATCTTCGACTCTCAGTCTGGTTAGTGGCTTGCTAAAAACTGAGTCATATTGGGACTTGAGTAGCTCACTCATTTCCTTGCTGTCATCTGTGTAGGACCCATCTTGTTTAAGTAGGGGCCCAATACTGGACGTTGTTCTCGACTTTGATTTGGCATAGGAGAAGAAATACTTTGGGTTTCTTTCGATTTCATTTATGGCTTTTAGTTCTTCCCGCGATTCCTGACTCCTGTAAGATTCCTTTAGCTTAAGTTCGATGTTTGCTATTTCTCTGACCAGTGTCTCCCTACGCATTTCAGATATATTGACCTCTTTTAGCCACTCTGTTATTCTTTTCCGTCGCCTGTAAAGGGAGCTCCTGTCTCTTTCTATTTTACATCTACTCCTCCTTTTTCTTAGAGGAATATGTCTTGTGCATACATCGAGTGCCACCAAGTTAATCTGTTCTAGGCATAAGTTGGGGTCTGTGTTGCTTAGTATATCTTCCCAGCTTATATCGGTTAGGACTTGGTTTACTTGGTCCCACTTTATGTTTTTGTTATTGAAGTTGAATTTGGTGAATGCTCGCTCGTGACTAGTCTCATTATGTCGGTCTGGGGCTCCGCGCATACATGTCTGAACCTCAATTATGTTGTGATCTGAGTATATTGTTTTTGATATGGTGACATTTCTTATCAGATCATCATTGTTAGTGAAGATGAGGTCTAGTGTATTCTCCATTCTAGTAGGGTCTATTATTTGCTGGTTTAAATTGAATTTTGTGCAGAGATTTAAAAGCTCGTGTGAGTGTGAGTTTTCATCAGAGCTGCCTCCTGGTGTTATTACTGCAACAATATTATTTGCTATATTCCTCCATTTTAGGTGCCTTAAGTTGAAATCCCCCAGGAGCAAGATGTTGGATGCAGGAGCTGGAAGATTTTCCAGACAGTGGTCAATTTTTAACAGCTACTCTTGGAATTGCTGGGATGTTGCATCCGGAGGCTTGTAGACTACCACAATGACTAGGTTTTGGTTCTCGATCTTTACTGCTAAAACTTCCACTACATCATTTGAGGCATTAAACAGTTCTGTGCAAACAAGTGACTCTGCAATGTACAGGCCAACCCCCCCCCCGTTTGCCTGTTCACTCTGTCACATCTGTATAGGTTGTAACCTGGGATCCATATTTCGTTGTCCAAGTGATCCTTTATGTGGGTCTCAGTGAAAGCCGCGAACATTGCCTTTGCCTCTGCAAGCAGTCCACGGATGAAAGGTATTTTGTTGTTTGTTGCTGACTTTAGACCCTGTATATTTGCAAAGAAGAATGTCATCTTCCATACGTAAAACAACAACTTGGATAAAATATGCAAATTATGGCATATCCTATATATACATAAGTATATATTTGTGGAAAATTTAATTTTCCTATAATTAGTAATGTGTATGTGAAGTGTTAACATAATGTAATATAAATATGAAGTGTTAATGGTAGTGACGAACTGCCAAACTACTTGTGAGGAAGCGAGTGAGTCTCCAACTGTGTGGGGGAGGAGGGTTGTGTTGATGGCAAGAGGCAGTGTTGGTGACACGGGTGTGTGAGGTTGTGTTGATAGCAAGAGGCAGTGTTGGTGACACGGGTGTGTGAGGTTGTGTGGATGACGAGGAGCAGTGTTGGTGACACGGGTGTGTGAGGTTGTGTTGATAGCAAGAGGCAGTGTTGGTGACACGGGTGTGTGAGGTTGTGTGGATGACGAGGAGCAGTGTTGGTGACACGGGTGTGTGAGGTTGTGTGGATGACGAGGAGCAGTGTTGGTGACACGGGTGTGTGAGGTTGTGTGGATGGCAAGAGGCAGTGTTGATGACACGGGTGTGTGAGGTTGTGTGGATGACGAGGAGCAGTGTTGGTGACACGGGTGTGTGAGGTTGTGTGGATGGCAAGAAGCAGTGTTGGTGACACAGGTGTGTGAGGTTGACTGTTGGTGTCGGCTCTCTATTTGACCCAATGGACGAGGTCAAAAAAAATCGAAAACTGAATGGATTATGACCCGGGTAACCGTCTTGAGAGGGAGTGTCGACTCTCTCAAGGAATTGGGAAGTCGGCCGAGTCTTCCAGTGAAGTCAACTAAGGTGTCATAAAAGCAGTATTTTCAGAAATTGACGCTTGCATCACACGTTATGTACGCCTTCTAGAGTATTAATTCTCATTACAAGTATCTTAATTTGTATTGGCCAATATAAATTGCCTATCTAAAGGGCGTTAGGATATAACGTCAAATCTTAATCTGGCGAGTTATATGGAAATCTAACTTATATTTTTTAATATAATTTATTTATATAAATTACCCAAGCAAATTACTCGGGTCAAGTAATTGTTACCGAATAAACAGTCCACACGTGTCAGTGTTACTGGCATATATTTGTCAAATAATTTTGAGAACTATATGTTTTAATAAAAATTTTAGGTGCAGAGGTATGAAACGTGATGACCTGAGAAGGTGGGCACGAATGTGGGATATTATTGTGACCTGGTGACAATAAAGTCCCACTTGACTCTGAGGTGCATCAATATCACTAAGTTGGATGTGCCAAAGTTCCTTCACAATAATGGGGTGAAATAATTCGGGACATTGCCTGTAAAATTTACTCTCATTTCTCTCAATATTAGTAAAATATATATTAACTACATGGTACCACATTATTGTCTATAGCCACATATGTGAAGACTATTTCAGAGTTGTCTAGTGTCACATAAACGTTATTCTCTATTTTATATGTGATCCTGGGGTGATATTCTGAGTAATGATGACTCGTCAGAGTCCCGTTATTAAGTGCTTTTTTTCTCATTTTTTCCTACTGAAATTTTCAAATTTTATCTATTTTATATAAAATTAATCCATATTAAATTCCATCATTCATTCCACTACCTTAGTCAGTCAGGATAAGGATACATAATTTTTTGTTTCCTGTTCAGGTTTTTTTATATTATCCACGAATTTTTTATATTTTTTTCTGGCAAGTTGTTTCTAGTGACACCGTCGGGGCGAGCACCAATCCTTGTGGCACCCCGCTACTGATAGCACCCCATAAGGGCACTGTAACCCGCACCTGTTTGCATATTGTCTTGCCATGGAGAAAATTATGTATCCGCTATATAAATTCTGCCATCTTTCCCTTCTATGTAATCAAGAGCTTGTTTCCGTGGCAGGATGGCACGGGCGGCGTGGCTGCTGGTCGTGGCGGTGGTGGGCGTGTTGGCTGCCGTGTCGACAGCTACTCTAGCGGACCGTAAAGCTCGTATCGTCTGCTACTTCTCTAACTGGGCAATCCACCGGCCGGGGAAAGGCAGCTACACTATAAAGGATATCCCCGTTAATAAGTGCACCCACATCGTCTACTCCTTCGTCGGTGTCTCCAATGTTACGTGGGAGATCCTGGTGCTGGATCCAGAGGTGTGTATTCTTCTGATATTCACACACACACACACACACACACACACACACACGCACACGCACACGCACACGCACACGCACACGCACACGCACACGCACACGCACACGCACGCGCGCGCACAAGCACGTCAAGAAGTTAGAGAAAGTACAAAGGTTTGCAACAAGGCTAGTTCCAGAGCTCAGGGGAATGTCGTACGAGGAAAGGTTGAGGGAAATCGGACTGACGACACTGGAGGACAGAAGGGCCAGGGGAGACATGATAACGACATACAAGATACTGCGGGGAATAGACAAGGTGGACAGAGATGGGATGTTCCAGAGAGGGGCCATAGAAACAAGGGGTCACAATTCGAAGCTGAAGACTCAGACGAGTCACAGGGACGTTAGGAAGTATTTCTTCAGTCATAGTCGTCAGGAAGTGGAATAACCTAGCAAGTGAAGTAGTGGAGGCAGGAACCATACATAGTTTTAAGAAGAGGTATGACAAAGCTCAGGGAGCAGAGAGGGAGAGGACCTAGTAGCGATCAGTGAAGAGGCGGGGCCAGGAGCCGAGTCTCGACCCCTGCAACCACAATTAGGCGAGTACACACACACACACACACACACACACACACACACACACACACACACACACACACACACACACACACACACACACACACACACAACATACTATCATTAAAAATAAGACTGTGAACCCTCGACCAAACCTCCTGCAAGACTCAACTTTACCTCCACCACCAAAGATCTTAAACCTTGAGAGTGTACGAGGTTCGCCAGTACTGCCGGCTCGGGTCTTCTCCAGATGGCGACTCGGCTGAACCTCAATAGAAACAAAAGGAGTATACTATCTTAACTGGTACATATGCTGAATGAACTGTGAGGTCAGAACGCGGGAAAAATTTTATCACTACTTACAAAATAATCAAAAGAATGGAGAGTTTGACGTTGAAACTAAAGCATAAGAGTATGGATGGAAATTTTACACGTTAATGAGCTACACGAATATCCAAAAGCACTTTCAGGATGAGTTAGAAAGACAGTTTCTATTCATGGCTTCAAGCAGGAAATATGACAAGGTAATCAAACACATTAGAATTTCCAGCTGCCTTATTAGACAATCAAGTTATTTGTCTCGTATATCTTGGATGTAACATCAGTGTGATATTACCCTTTTTCTATAAGATAGTCACACAGTGGGAACAAAAGTTGGTTACGTTTCCCCTGGCATATTCCATTACGCAAAACGGGCCTATTACAAATACTAAAATCTGTCAGCTGGAACTGGGAGGCTTCCGGGAGACAGGATATCGTCTGTATTCCAGCAAGGGTTCATCAGCTACAGCAGCTTCGAAGGTTTTCTTCCAGCAGAGCTGGAGTTACTGTCACTTGGGAATTATCTCTCACGGTAGATTATCCCAGGCACAGGAGAAATAGAATTTTATGAAGATATATCTGTGATTTCATCGATGTTCATAATTCTGAATATGCCCTAAACTGTTAAATACTGAGACAGAATAATAATATAACATTTATGTAAATATGTTTGTAGAAGACGGTATACACCGCGACGGACGTAAACATTGATTTTTTCTCACACTAACAGGTAGACACAATCAGGTAGACAAACGCTGATCACCTCTGACACTGTAACAGGTAGACTGAGCCATTAACACCGACACTTTCATGTTTGTTTATATATTTTCCTAACACTGGTAGTCTACCACAGAGGTCGGCTGGACCCACAGAATAAATGAATAAATTTACCATCATTCAATCATTGTCTTGTCAGAAGTGTGTTGGCATTACAGTTTAGATAACCATCCGAACCACAACATCCCCGCACCTCTAGGACTCGAGGCCTACCAACCTGAATCTTTCATTTCTTTGCTCACACTCCAACAACTCGTCTAGTCATTAAATCCACATATCTCGAAGTGCTGTTTTTTTTACATGCATACACTGAAAACGTGTCATTCAACTTCAGATTGATGTGGACAAGAATGGGTACAAGAATTTCACAGACTTGGCCAAAGCTACACCCGGCCTGAAGTCAATGTTGGCGATTGGTGGCTGGGGTGAGGGAGGCAAGAAGTATTCTCAGATGGCTAACGTTCCTGAGAGAAGAGCCTCTCTCATCCGCAGTACCGTAGGTAAGTTACTCTGTACTCGCCTAATTGTAGTTGCAGGGGTCGAGACGCAGCTCCTGGCCCCGCCTCTTCACTGAACGATACTAGGTTCTCTCCCTGCTCCATAAGCTTTATCATACCTCGTCTTAAAGCTATGTATGGTTCCTGCCTCCACTACATCGCTCGCCAGACTGTTCCACTTCCTGACCACTTTATGACTGAAGAAATGCTTCCTAACATCCCTGTGACTCATCTGAGTCTTCAACTTCAAAGAGTGACCCCTTGTTTCTGTGTCCCCTCTCTGGAACATCTTGTCTCTGTCCACCTTGTCTATTCCACTCACTATTTTGTATGTTGTTATCATGTCTCCCCTATCCCTCCTGTCCTCCAGTGTCGGCAGGCCGATTTCCCTCGACTGCTAAATGCCTCAAATGATGTAGTGGAAGTTTTAGCAGTAAAGGTCGAGAACCAAAACCTAGTCATTGTGGTAGTCTACAAGCCTCCGGATGCAACATTCCAGCAATTCCAGGAACAGCTGTTAAAAATTGACCACTGTCTGGAAAACCTTCCAGCTCCTGCACCCAACATCTTGCTCCTGGGGGATTTCAACTTAAGGCACCTAAAATGGAGGAATATAGCAAATAATATTGTTGCAGTAATAACACCAGGAGGCAGCTCTGATGAAAACTCACACTCACGCGAGCTTTTAAATCTCTGCACAAAATTCATTTTAAACCAGCAAATAATAGAGCCTACTAGACTGGAGAATACACTAGACCTCATCTTCACTAACAATGATGATCTGATAAGAAATGTCACCATATCAAAAACAATATACTCAGATCACAACATAATTGAGGTTCAGTCATGTATGCGCGGAGCCCCAGACCGACATAATGAGATTATTCACGAGGGAGCATTCACCAAATTCAACTTCAATAACAAAAACATAAAGTGGGACCAAGTAAACCAATTACTCAGATATGGTAAACATGAGGAAATTAAATCTTCATCAGAGTACAAAACAAATTCTGGCCACAAAATAGAGCGAAACACCAACGTCAAAGACCTGGGAGTGATTATGTCGGAGGATTTCACCTTCAAGGACCATAACATTGTATCAATCGCATCTGCTAGAAAAATGACAGGATGGATAATGAGAACCTTCAAAACTAGGGGGGCCAAGCCCATGATGACACTCTTCAGGTCACTTGTTCTATCTAGGCTGGAATATTGCTGCACTCTAACAGCACCTTTCAAGGCAGGTGAAATTGCCGACCTAGAAAATGTACAGAGAACTTTCACGGCGCGCATAACGGAGATAAAACACCTCAATTACTGGGAGCGCTTGAGGTTTCTAAACCTGTATTCCCTGGAACGCAGGAGGGAGAGATACATGATTATATACACCTGGAAAATCCTAGAGGGACTAGTACCGAACTTGCACACGAAAATCACTCACTACGAAAGCAAAAGACTTGGCAGACGATGCACCATCCCCCCAATGAAAAGCAGGGGTGTCACTAGCACGTTAAGAGACCATACAATAAGTGTCAGGGGCCCGAGACTGTTCAACTGCCTCCCAGCACACATAAGGGGGATTACCAACAGACCCCTGGCAGTCTTCAAGCTGGCACTGGACAAGCACCTAAAGTCAGTTCCTGATCAGCCGGGCTGTGGCTCGTACGTTGGTTTGCGTGCAGCCAGCAGCAGCAGCCTGGTTGATCAGGCGCTGATCCACCAGGAGGCCTGGTCACAGACCGGGCCGCGGGGGCGTTGACCCCCGAAACTCTCTCCAGGTAAACTCCAGGTTCAAGGACCATAACATTGTATCAATCGCATCTGCTAGAAAAATGACAGGATGGATAATGAGAACCTTCAAAACTAGGGAGGCCAAGCCCATGATGACACTCTTCGGGTCACTTGTTCTATCTAGGCTGGAATATTGCTGCACACTAACAGCACCTTTCAAGGCAGGTGAAATTGCCGACCTAGAAAATGTACAGAGAACTTTCACGGCGCGCATAACGGAGATAAAACACCTCAATTATTGGGAGCGCTTGAGGTTCCTAAACCTGTATTCCCTGGAACGCAGGAGGGAGAGATACATGATTATATACACCTGGAAAATCCTAGAGGGACTAGTACCGAACTTGCACACGAAAATCACTCACTACGAAAGCAAAAGACTTGGCAGACGATGCAACATCCCCCCAATGAAAAGCAGGGGTGTCACTAGCACGTTAAGAGACCATACAATAAGTGTCAGGGGCCCGAGACTGTTCAACTGCCTCCCAGCACACATAAGGGGGATTACCAACAGACCCCTGGCAGTCTTCAAGCTGGCACTGGACAAGCACCTAAAGTCAGTTCCTGATCAGCCGGGCTGTGGCTCGTACGTTGGTTTGCGTGCAGCCAGCAGCAACAGCCTGGTTGATCAGGCTCTGATCCACCAGGAGGCCTGGTCACAGACCGGGCCGCGGGGGCGTTGACCCCCGGAACTCTCTCCAGGTAAACTCCAGGTAACTCCAGGACATTCCCCTTAGCTCTGGAACCAACCTTGTCGCAAATCTTTACACTTTCTCTAATTTCTTAACGTGCTTGACCCGGTGCGGGTTCCAAACTGGTGCTGCATACTCCAGTATGGGCCTGACGTACACGGTGCACAGTGTCTTGAAAGATTCCTTACTTAGGTATCGGAATGGTAATCTCATGTTTGCCAGGCGCCCAAATGCTGCAGCAGTTATCTGGTTGATGTGTGCTTCCGGAGACGTGTTCGGTGTTATACTCACGCCAAGATCTTTCTCCTTGAGCGAGGGTTTGCAGTCGTTGGCCACCTAGCCTATGCTCTGTTTGCCCTTCTCTGATCTTCATGACTTTGCATTTGGCAGGGTTGAATTCGAGAAGCCAGTTGCTGGACCACATGTCCAGCCTATCCAGGTCTTTTTGAAGTCCTGCCTGATCCTCATCTGATTTAATTCTCCTCATTAACTTCACATCATCTGCGAACAGGGACACCTCTGAGTCTATCCCTTCCATCGTGTCATTCACATATACCAAAAATAGCACTGGTCCTAGGACCGACCTCTGTGGGACCCTGCTCGTCACAGGTGCCCACTGTGATACCTCATCACTTACCATGACTCGTTGTTGTCTCCCTGTCAGGTATTCTTTGATCCATTGAAGTGCCCTTCCCGTTATACGTGCCTGATCCTCTAGTTTCTGCACTAATCTTTTGTGAGGAACTGTGTCGAAGGCCTTCTTGCAGTCCAAGAAGATGCAATCAACCCACCCCTCTCTCTCGTGTCTTCTGTTATTTTATCATAAAACTCCAGAAGGTTTGTGACACAGGATTTGCCTTCCATGAATCCGTGCTGGTTGGCATTTATACTTTTGTTCCGTTCCAGGTGCTCCACCACTCTCCTCCTGATAATCTTCTCCATGACTTTGCATACTATACACGTCAGTGACACTTGTCTGTAGTTTAGCGCCTCTTTTCTGTCTTTTTTTAAAAATGGGAACTACATTTGCCGTCTTCCATACCACAGGTAGTTGCCCAGTTTCAAGAGATGTGTTGAAGATTGTGGTTAATGGGACACACAGCATTTCTGCTCCTTCTCTAAGGACCCACGGGAAGATGTCCAGTCACATTGCCTTTGAGGTATCAAGGTCACTTAGCAGCTTCTTCACCTCCTCCTCAGTTGTGTGCATGTCATCCAGCACTGTTGGTGTATTCCCTGTTGGTGTCCCCCTCTGTCCTGTCTTCCCACTGCAAATACTTCCTTAAATCTCTTGTTGAGCTCCTCGCATACCTCTTGATCGTTTTGTTTTGTGACTATATAGCACTTTCAGGTCAGATTTGACTTTTGAAGCTATGTCGTTTTCATACCGTCACTGGGCCTCCCTCCTTATCTGTGCATACTCGTTGCTGGCTCATCGACTGATCTCCTTATTTTCCTGGGTTCTTTGCCTTCTGTATCTCTTCAATTCTCTAATGCACTTTGGTTTTGCCTCCCTACACCTTCGGGAAAACCTATGAATCGCTTTGGTCTTCTCATTAATTCTGTTGCCCTTGGGAATAAAACTTTCCTCTACCTCCTTGCATTTTGTTACATATTCCATCATTTTGTTCACTGACTTTCCTACCAGCTCTCTGGCCCACTGAACCTCCCGCAGGAAGTTCCTCATACCTGTGTAGAGACCCCTTTTATAGTTTGACTTTTACCAATCGGCTCCTGTTACCCTCTCCACTTGCAGCTCTACTATGTAATCAAAACTCAGAACCACGTAATCGCTAGCTCAAAGGGGCCTCTCATATGTGATCGCAATGTCTGAATTGCTCAGGGTGAACACAAGGTCCAGCCTTGCTGGTTCATACTTCCCTCACTCTCTGGTAGTGTCCCTGGCGTGTTGATGCATGAGGTTTTCCAGTACCACATCCATCATCTTGGCTCTCCATGTGTCAGGACCCCCGTGAGGCTCCAGGTTTCCAGTTGATCTCCCTATGGTTGAAATCACCCATAACCAGTAACTTTGCTCTGCACGATTTTTTTTATATTTTATTTAAAACTCAGGTACAAAAATATATGGGTACATAATCAATATGTAACAAGATACAGGCAGTGAACAATAATCAACTGTGACTACACAAATACTGAAGATGCACATATATAATGACAGAACTGGCTGCTGCACTCAAATCAAACACTTCTTGTACGTACTGTGCTTTACATGAAAAGGTGGTCATATAAAAAACGATAGAACCTACCCAGTAATGCTTACACTCCCCCCCCCATGAAAACGTGCCACTTTCACCTTAGTATACACAGTGACAAATCTCTTGTACTTATACATTTATAAAAGCATTAAAAACTTCAATGAGAAAATATATAAACACAATCCAGCCAGCTAAACGGCTGACACTATAATACAAGGAATGTCTGAACATAACGGCTCACATCCACCATAGAACACAATCCACACTAACCCTCATATACCCTATGGTAATAATCAATAAACAGTCA